TAACATATTTGACCCCTGTGACCTTGAATATGGGTGAAGGTCATTCATTTGAACAAACTTTGTAGCCCTTCATCTCAGCATGCTACTGGCCAAATATCATCATCCTGGGCATTTTGGTTATTCAGAAGAAGTTATTTGAAGGTTTTTTAAGACAATTGACCCCTGTGACCTTGAATATAATTGAAGGTCATTCATTTGAACAAACTTGGTAGCCCTTCACCCTAGCATGCTACTGACAAAATATCATCTCCCTGGGCAGTTTGGTTATTGAGAAGAAGTTGTTTAAAGTTTTTAACATATTTGACCTCTGTGACCTTGAAAATAGATGAAAGTCATTTATTTGAACAAACTTGGTAGCCCTCCATCCCAGTTTGCTTCTCGCCAAATATCATCACCCTAGGCATTTCGGTTATTAAGAAGAAGTCGTTTAAAGTAAAATATTGATGCCGGACGACGGACGGACGACGGACGGACAGACGGACGGACGACGGACGCCGCACCACGGCATAAGCTCACTTGGCACTTTGTGCCAGGTGAGCTAAAAAGATAAGAAAAAAACGTGGCAATTTATTGAAATTTGTACCATTTCTGCCCCTTTTATATGATCAGACATCTTTAACAAAAGCCCAAGTTCTAACAAGACTGACTTTTGTTAAATGTCATTTTCACTGATGTGCCAAGCTATAATATTTGTATAGTATAGATATATAGGCAAATGTAACTGTTGTTTATTGCTAATGATCACTTATCAAACATTTTTATGACCTTGTTTATTATTATCACCATAATTGCAAAGAAGAAAATCCATGTGATAAGAAAAAGATACTGAATTTTATTTTAATCCAGATCTTGGTAAAAAGGTGTTGCAAAAGTATGAACAAAATTAGGCCAAAAGAAAAAGAAAGTCAAGCCCAAAAGGTCCAGCCACAAATCAGAAGCCAAGTTGACCATCTTGAACTTAGAGCTTTTTCCGCCATTTTGTTTTCCCAAAATCCATTTAAAATTTTAAAATATATCTAGGCCCCTGATGCTTAGATCATTTCCAGAAACAAAAAGTGTGGCCCTGAGGCTGTATTGTGTATAGACAAATGGACAGACCCCGTTTTCCATGTATCCCCAACTATTCTCCAAGCGGGTATCATTCATTAGCCAAATGAATCTGGACCAGTAATCAAGCAATTAAAACAAAATCTGTAGATTTGTTCATAGATACCTATACTGCAACTGAGTAGCAAATACTTGATATGGTAAATAGTATGCCAATGACAAATAAGAAACAACAGAATCTAATTAGTTATTATGTAAATATTAATTGTGCAAATTATTTTTTCTTCCCTCCACCCTCTTTACTGTGCAATTTAAGGGGGCTAGTAGAAATTGCATTTATTGCCCTGCTACTGATGGTGGGTTTTTTTATCATAATCAGTACTCCTGGCACGCACATCTCTGATGCATGCCCCTTATTACATTACGTATGGTGTCAAAATTTCCTCCCTTTTACTAGAAAGCAATTAAAACCTAAACCTGTGGGTATTGGTGTTCATGTTCAAATCATGTTTATGAACAATTTTAGAAACAAAATTAGAATATTTGCTTACCATATCATCCATGTCAATTCCAACGTAGTCTAAAACAACTCTCAAGATTTCAACAAAATCTTCAATGACATCCATCTTTTATCCAGTTGACAGCCTAGAAGAATAAAATATTGCATTTTCACTTTATTATTAATTAAATTTATTTATTCGTTTTTATATTTTACATCAATAGCGAAACAAGTTCTATAAACTTATAATAAATCACTTTTGTTGGCCCAGATGGTAGCATGCAGGGGGTCTAAAACCCTTTCACCGTCACAGTGAAAACCTTGATTATGCATTGACCCAATTATGTTTACTCCGTAACGTTTATTGTAAGGGAGGCTTTTTTCTCGTAAGTCAAATCATAAGTCTGCTCATAAAGCAATTAAAAATTGTCTAAAGAACAACTTCTTACTTGAGAATGCTTTTGTGAAACTGATTTAAGAGATCTTTTAAGATAATCATAACTCCAATTTTACAAACAAATTGTAGGATTTTTTGTAAAAAGATTCATTGGTTCTCAGCTATGCAATACCGATTTAGTTTTTAAGAATAATTCAGAGCTGAACATAAATCGCCTCACAGAACAAATTAACCCTTTCACCACTGTAGATCATAATGGACTCATCCAGATCAATGCATGGTGGATTCTACTAAAGTTACATGTATAGGAGTGAAAGGGTTAAGAGTTTCCAGATTGTCTCATGCAGCATTCAACATAAAAATCAGATCGGTCCTGTGGCAGTCGGATCAGGAAATCAAAAGCAGGCTGTCTTGCAATTGGTGAAAGGGGGTGCACCCACACCAACATTTTTACTGGTTTTGTCAATTTCAAAAATGTTCCCCAACCCCTTTTGTGGATCCTAGTGTTAGAAAGAATTTTGAATGTTTTTATTTCACTTTAAATATTCTCCAATTCAGTAATAAAATTGTTACTGTAAACAGGTCTAAAACTATGAACTGTCAATTGTTTAATGTAAGCTCAAGTGCGAGTGTAAAATCAGTCTTACTAGTACTGTCACAGGTAGGAAGATAAATATAAGTTATCATGCAACTGAAAACCTGTATGTTTTAATTTGTAGTGAAATATTATTCTGATTTCTCCACAGGGACCCTAGAATTTGTTGCAGCTATACATTTAATTTGCAGCAATGATTATATAATACGCACATATATATATATAAGCATTGGGGGTGGCATTTTTACCGAAAGTCGATCATAATCCCTTAAACATGTAAGATTACTCTGAACACCTTAGTTTAGGTCCAAATATACATCTGTAACAAATTACCTGTGCATTAAACAGGTTGATTTGACCACAGAGCCTAGAGGCACGGTTTAATCACTGGAGTTCGTTCCAAATGTCTGAAATACACTTACACCGAAATGCACACTGACACTGTGCTGTGACATATGTCAGTATAGCATATGTGTATTTCAGACATTTGTAACGAACCCCTGTGGTTCAATTTATCAATATTAGGCCTACTATAATCTATGTGAGCCTCATACATATTAAATTATGCATTGAAAACAAGGAGGCCTCAGATATAAATTGATCAATTGAACTGTGCCCCTGTGATTTTACCACAATTGCTGGACACACTATATAGTAATTATATAGTATAAACACATCAAATTACTATTACTGTAGTGTGTCCAGCACCTGTGGATTTGACCCTGTGACTGAGATGCACATATCTTCTACTGCAATCAAAATATTTCAACAACACACCGAAATTTGATATTCCTAGCATCGTTACCCATTGACCAACTCTTTCAGCTGAAATTCGAAATTGTGTTCTTTGCATTCGCCTATGCATCTATCATACACACCTTGTAGCCGCCATTCATTTGAAAGTACTTCCGTTTCCCGACATACAACTAATATTGTCCAATAGAAAGACAGTTTTCAAAATACTGACCAATCAAATTTACAGTGCATTGGTGGTAAATTCAACCTTATATCCGGTCATCATACTATTCGTACACAAGTATATATTCAAGAACGTGAACAGGTAAAAGCAACGCAATTTAATTGATTTGATACACCAAAAAATAACTTGCACAACACACAATTCTGGAGGCAGTTTAGCACAGTCTGTAGAACATTTGATCTGCGTTTTGTTCCTCAGTATCGCTATCCGACCACGATCTGTAGGCCTACAGTAGCTAGGACTACTTTACCTGATCATGACCTGTCGTGTAACTTTGTATATTTCTCAAACATGTACAATAAACATGATCAGTGCATGCCATATTGTCGTGTTATAAGCAATGGATGACCAGTTCCTTGGCAAAAAATGTCCTCGGACGATACATGTATAACAGGAGAAGAAAGATGCACTATTATACCAGACCGGGGTTCGAATCCGGGACCCTCCAAACTATATAATTCCCCCATTCTCTTTTCAAAGTTTTCACCCAAAATACATCACTATTTACAACCAAGGTTTGATTATCCCCTTGCTAAGCTTACCGGTCCGCCCATTGGCTGAAACATAGGTTAGTCTCTATAGATGCTTTTTTTTTAATTATTATTTGTATTCATGCATATGAATATTGTGGCTAACAAAATAGGTTTGTAAAGAGTATTTATACTGTATAGTAGCTCTGATAAATTGGCTGATTATTGATGACTGTAACTTTTGGTTATAGAATTCATGATCAAATATTTAAGTTGAAATAATTGTGTATGTAGATTATGGAGTTTTAGTAGTTCAAACTTATCTCCCTGCTAAAACTTTGTACTAGAGTAAACTCTTGTCGATATTTATTTCCTGCTGCTGTGTCAGCATTGACTCTCACAAACTACATGTATTGCTTTCAATTCCGCCCATGGCAGATTATATTTAGTAGGGGTTTCACAATACGCTTAAGAGTGTATAACAATTATATTGTAATGTACACAGCATGAATATATTACGCAGGCGATACTATAGGTGTTCAATTTAAAACAAAGTTGTTGTCAGAATGTTATCAAACTTAATCATATATCATACATTTTTTGCCAACTTTTTGAAATTTCCATGGAGAATTTTGTCATGATCTACTCAAAATTAAAACATAAATAAAATGTGTTTATACAACCTCTAGAGACAAAATAACCCTTTAAAATGACATACTTTGAGCTGCTCTTTCAGATGAAATCATTAGATCTTGGAATATAGGAACAGTTAAGCAAATTCACTGGTTGAAAATACTAAATTTAAGGGTCCAAAATCCTAAATCGGGGATGATTTAAGATTTTTGTCAAACCAACCATTGATTACGAGATTTACATGTATACTGAATCCAACCACTAGTAATAGCCTGTTTTCTATGGTTATTGGCATACCTGTAAGAATGTGAGTAAATGTGCTCAAGTTTAAACACAAATCAAATACATGAAAAATATTGCAATAAAATTAAATAAATATACAACATTTGATATAGCGCCCTATCTAGCTAACATAAGCTGGCCACTCTAAAGCGCTTTACAGTACATATATATACAATTTTATACAATCAATACAATTAGCATATATACATTAATCAATACAATATTGAGGAATTCGCCGGAGCTGCCTTATCAGGTGCTGACTAACTAGTCCCTATGCCACCTGGCTAATATCTCCCTATGTGTGTATGCCTGCTTGTGTGTTGGAGTTGTATTGTGTTCTGTTTGTAGAGCGATATTTCAACCCAGTACTGTAATACATTATGCCTGTGTATTGCGATAAAGCTGTTTTCTTATATATTGCCACAGCCCTTATTTGTAGGACTAGTACTGTAAATAAAAAGGGAGGTCCTTTTATGTGTAAGTGACTCACAATAGCAGAATGGGGGATTTCATGATGGATTTCTTTAATACAAATATTAATCAATCGTCATTTATTGAAGAGTAAATGTTCAGAAAATTTCAAACTAATGGTAAATACTACATCTTTAGCTACCTACATACCCTAGAAGGGTTTTCCCTACAATACCAGATCCAAACTTGTTGTTTTTGCCTTTAAAATGTCTGGTATACAATTACCATGTAATAAACCTATATACAGGGCTTATATTGATAAGGATTTTAAAATCATTGGTTCCATGGTTGGGATGAAGAAACAAGCTAACATTTTGTTTTTGTGTTTCAGAAAGGGAAGAGTAAGAATGGCGTCAGTGGAAACAATTACAGCCCTCAAGGGGATGGCCTCAGACCCAAAGAAAAGAAGTTTCCTTCTCAAGGTGTATATTTGTCACCTGGGCAGTTCCAGACATAAATATATGACAGGATGAGAAGGGAGGCAATGGTTTCTTATAGTGCGTGATAGAGTGGTTGGGATCTACAATGATACGACTGTGTTTGGCTTGATGGTTTACATAAAAAGACTTTCCGAACACCATAAATTATTTCTGGAAATACCTTCAGTTCACATGTATGGTAGATGAAATGTCAAGCTGAAATACGTAAACTGATAGTTGTTTAAAATTTGACCTCCTGTCTTGGGAAATACATTGTAATGGGTAAATGCAATGTAAAAGAAATTTGCAGTGTTATGTGTTTACTTTGTATTTGAAATTCCAAACTATGTAGCATACTAGTTAGCTACAGTCTGTTCTATACTTTTTGAAATTGCTTACCCTAAGAAGGCTCCAAGATTAGCTAATAACTCAAAAAGTATAGGCCATCTTCATCATGTTCTTAAGTTAATAGAATTTCCTACAGAGAAAGTTTTGTTATTGTAATTTAAAGATTTTGGGCCAGTAAAAAGGTTTACATTGAAAAATATATAGACAATTACTGCACATGTGTGTTGTCTATGTACTGTATATTGTAACAAAATTAGTTTCAGTTGAAGAATCTTGACAAGCCTGAAATTTTATCAAATGTAAAAAAAAAAAATATGAAGAGTTTTCATTTTCCCCAATAATTGTTTTGTTGATAAATGATTGGCTCTAATGACCTCTCCTAATATTGGGATATTTAGCAAATATAAAGACAAATTTGTCTGTTATGTAAATGATGCACTATCCATTGTATCTATATTTTGATAACGCTAAAGGGCAGAGGTCACATGGACCCAGGTGGCTGGCTTTCATCCAGCTCTGCATATTCCGTGAAATTAGTTGTATTGTAAAAGGTTGTTATCAAAATGTTTTGGACCATGCAGATTTTAACTATGTATGACTTGCCAAAGATGTGACTTGAAATTGTACATGTATGTACTAGGGTTGGGGCAGTGCTACATTCACATGTTATGATGATTATGTATACAAAAACGCCAATAACTTTGTTGTCACATCAGATGACCTATTGACCCTTCATTCAGTATTTCATTTGACCCATGGGCATTACAGTTCTTTATGAAAACCACTTTTTATTAGACTTGATTATTTGTTTTAACTTGCATGTTATTCATAACAACGAGGAAGCCCATTTATTTAGTAAATTTTAAATTGGTTTCCTTGTTCATATAAAAATACATGCAAATGGGACATATATGGTTTTCATTGTACATAAGAATTCATGCCAGTGACTGAGCCATAAAGTAACTGGTCAGAAGGGAACTAATTCTAGAAGGTTTTTTCCTTACTGATAACCAGCTGACAATTATGGCCCTTAGATTACCAATGTTTCTATCATCTATGTCATATCTATGCAGCTGATGTTACGATGAACTGACTTCCGTAGAGGGATTGAGTCTTCTATTCAGTAATTTTTGTTTGCAGGATTTGACTTGTATCGGAGGTCTTATCATGGTGCTGTCCAATCCCGATGTAAAGGTGGTCACAGTTGCCCTTGAGGTATGTACACAGGTAGATGGGTCTACCCCTCGAGGTATGTACACATATAGATGGTCTAACCCTCGAGGGATGTACACAGGTAGATGGTCTAACCCTTCGAGGTATGTACACAGGTAGATGGTCTAGCCCTCAAGGTATGTACACAGGTAGATGGTCTACCCCTCGAGGTATGCACACAGGTAGATGGGTCTACCCCTCGCGGTATGTACACAGGTAAATGGTCTAACCCTCGAGGTATGTACACAGATAGATGGGCTAACCCTCGAGGTATGTACACATATAGATGGTCTAACCCTCGAGGGATGTACACAGGTAAATGGTCTAACCCTCAAGGTATGTACACAGGTAGATGGGACTACCCCTCGAGGTATGTACACAGGAAGATGGTCTAACCCTCGAGGTATGTACACATATAGATGGTCTAACCCTCGAGGGATGTACACAGGTAAATGGTCTAACCCTCGAGGTATGTCCACAGGTAGATGGGTCTACCCCTCGAGGAATGTACACAGGTAGATGGTCTAACCCTTGAGGTATGTACACAGGTAGGTGGTCTAACCCTCGAGGTATGTACCCAGGTAGATGGTCTAACCCTCGAGGGATGTACACAGGTAGATGGTCTACCCCTCGAGGTATGCACACAGGTAGATGGGTCTACCCCTCGAGGAATGTACACAGGTAGATGGGTCTACCCCTCGCGGTATGTACACAGGTAAATGGTCTAACCCTCGAGGTATGTACACATATAGATGGTCTAACCCTCGAGGTATGTACACAGGTAGATGGTCTACCCTTCGAGGTATGTACACATGTAGATGGTCTAACCCTCGAAGTATGTACACAGGTAGATGGTCTAACCCTTCGAGGTATGTACACAGGTAAATGGTCTAACCCTCAAGGTATGTACACAGGTAGATGGTCTCCCCTTCGAGGTATGTACACAGGTAAATGGTCTAACCTTCGAGGTATGTACACAGGGAGATGGTCTTACCCTCGAGGTATGTACACAGGTGGATGGTCTAACCCTCGAGGTATATACACAGGGAGATGGTCTAACCCTCGAGGTATGTACACAGGTAGATGGGTCTACCCCTCGAGGTATGTACACAGGTAGATGGTCTAACCCTCGAGGTATATACACAGGTAGATGGTCTAACCCTCGAGGTATGTACACATGTAGATGGTCTAACCCTCGAGGTATGTACACAGGTAGAGGGTCTAACCCTCCAGGAACGACAGTAGTAGATGGTCTAACGTTGACTTATTATGATGTAGATAATGTGTTACTGCCCCTCCCATTAGTGGCGGGGACATGTACATAAGATGTTTGCTTTCCCAATAGGTCCTTCAGTCTGTACAATAACCCTTGTTGATCTTTTGTCAAGCTACAGGACAATGAAAAAGTGCTTCATGGCATTTCTTTCTAACTGTAATATACATAGTGGGCTTATTACCAAGCATGGGCTTATTGGCGGATAAACATGGTATTCTAATACAAATGTTAGGAACCCTACATTCATCAAACTTCATGTGTTGATACATCTTGAGGAGGACTTAACCACTAAAAACACTACATCATATGTTGGTCATGGCCATGGTAACCTATACCTTTTGCTTAACATGACTATACATTTATCTCTGTTACCACAAAAGCAGTAGCAGGGGCATTTGCCGCTTTTATTTATAAACATTTGAAAGATATGTTTCAATTGTTAAAGGGACTAAAGTTTGGAAACTGAAAAAAAAAAGACAATTTCAGGTAATACTGAAATTCACACATACACACAGGTGCTCAAAAACAGGAAAATGAGCCTCAAGTGATTGCCTATTTCACTGTTATGAGATAAACATCGGTTATGTACATGCTTGAACATAATTATAAGTTGATGCAATTTTAGACAGTTTCTCAACAATGTTGGTAATTTCAGAGGTTTTTTTATTGTCCCGCCGCCACAAAGTTGCGGAAGCGAGGTTAGGGTGTTGCTTTTACGGCAGCGTGTCCACATTCAGTTTTTGCATTTTAGTTGGTTTCACTGGAAATATAAGTGCTATATAGACCAACCAAACTTGGACCATAGATGCATCTTAGGTAGTACATCTCAATCTAAGCATCAAATGCTGGATGCAGCCTACTTTTCATAGTCCATATCAAGTTTTTACGTTTTTGCGTTTTAGTTAGTTTCTCTGAAACTATAATTGCTAGACCAATCAAACTTATATGTGCATTGATGATCAAAGCGGGGCACAGGCAAGACATATCAATCCGAATGGCTTGTTATTTATTAAAGGGAGGTAATTATGTAGTTATATCAGTTTCTTGATTTCAAGATAGTGTCAGTCACATTAAATTTTGTGTCAAAGCCTTATAAAGTTAATTATGAAGAGCAATATTTTTAATTTTTCATTAATTGGTTTTATTTCTTTCTTATCTAAACTTTTCCTATTGAAGACCCTGCTTTTGTTGGCTGACAGAGCAGACCACAGATCAACATTACGAGATTTCCTTGGGATGACAGACCAGCTAGAGACAATCATGAGGAGGTACTATCTGATGGTTAGGACTGTATCAGGTATAGTGGGGGAGGGGGAGCAGTAGACACCTTAGACTACAGTTCAGTTTTTAGTGAGTGTTTATATAGATGTGAGTCATATATTGTAGCACTATTTATGGTACATAATTTATTTTATTTTATTATTTTATTTCAGGTTTTTGTAAGTAAGCAAATTTACTGTTAATTACTCTAATGCTCATGTTTGCTTTTTCACACACTATTTTCTTAATAGTTGCAGGAGCTATAATCACAGTGTTCAATGTTAAGCTTGTTTATCAAATTTTCACGTAGTAGTAGTACTGTAGTCTCAGTTGTTATCAGTATTTATCAGATTGCAAGTATTGACAAACAAAAAATAATTAATTACTGTACACATTCATCAATGCAGTGCTCACTAGAGGTAGTTATTACTCTTGAAAAATAATGATTGCATTATTTTCACTGCCTTATAGATCATCTTACGACAAAAAAGCATCAAACTTGGCAGAGAAGTTGTATGTGACCCTGACACAGGTTGACCTGCAAACACCACTGAAAGATACCTTCAACAGGTCTACAGTGTCTGGACAGTCTAGGTTAGTAACCACACTTATACCACAGAAAGATACCTTAAACAGATCTACAGGGTCTGGTCAGTCTAGGTTAGTAACCTCTTATACCACAGAAAGATACCTTAAACAGATCTACAGGGTCTGATTCAGTCTAGGTTAGTAACCACACTTATACCACAGAAAGATACCTTAAACAGATCTACAGGGTCTGATTCAGTCTAGGTTAGTAACCACACTTATACCACTGAAAGATACCTTAAACAGATTAACAGTGTCTGTTCTGGACAGTCTAGGTTAGTAACCAACCTTATACCACAGAAAGATACCTTAAACAGCTCTACAGTGTCTGGACAGTCTAGGTTAGTAACCAACCTTATACCACAGAAAGATACCTTAAACAGATATACAGTGTCTGTTCTGGACAGTCTAGGGTAGTAACCACACTTATACCACTGAAAGATACCTTAAACAGATCTACAGGGTCTGGTCAGTCTAAGTTAGTAACCTCTTATACCACAGAAAGATACCTTAAACAGATATACAGTGTCTGGTCAGTCTAGGTTAGTAACCAATTATACTACAGAAAGATTCCTTAAACAGATCTACAGTGTCTGGACAGTCTAGTTTAGTAACCAACCTTATACCACAGAAAGATACCTTAAACATATCTACAGTGTCAGGCCAGTCTAGGTTAGCAACCACACTTATACCACAGAAAGATACCTGAAACAGGTCTACAGTGTCTGGTCAGTCTAGGTTAGTAACCAATTATACTACAGAAAGATACCTTAAACAGATCTACAGTATCTGGACAGTCTAGGTTAGCAACCACACTTATACCACAGAAAGATACCTGAAACAGGTCTACAGTGTCTGGTCAGTCTAGGTTAGTAACCAATTATACTACAGAAAGATTCCTTAAACAGATCTACAGTGTCTGGTCAGTCTTAGTTAGTAACCACACTTATACCACAGAAAGATACCTTTAACAGATCTACAGTGTCTGGTCAGTCTAGGTTAGTAACCAAATATACCACAGAAAGATACCTTCAACAGGTCTACAGTGTCTGGACAGTCTAGGTTAGTAACCACACTTATACCACAGAAAGATACCTTAATCAGATCTACAGTGTCTGGTCAGTTTAGGTTAGTAACTACACTTATACCACAGAAAGATACCTTAAACAGATATACAGTGTCTGGTCAGTCTAGGTTAGTAACCAATTATACTACAGAAAGATACCTTAAACAGATCTACAGGGTCTGGTCAGTCTAGGTTAGTACACCCTTATACCACTGAAAGATACCTTAAACAGATCTACAGTGTCTGGACAGTCTAGTTTAGTAACCAACCTTATACCACAGAAAGATACCTTAAACAGATCTACAGGGTCTGGTCAGTCTAGGTTAGTACACCCTTATACCACTGAAAGATACCTTAAACAGATATACAGTGTCTGGTCAGTCTAGGTTAGTAACCAATTATACTACAGAAAGATTCCTTAAACAGATCTACAGTGTCTGGTCAGTCGAGGTTAGTAAACACTTATACCACTGAAAGATACCTTAAACAGATCTACAGTGTATGGACAGTCTAGTTAGTAACCAATTATACCACAGAAAGATACCTTAAACAAATCTACAGGGTCTGGTCAGTCTAGGTTAGTACACCCTTATACCACTGAAAGATACCTTAAACAGATATACAGTGTCTGTTCTGGACAGTCTAGGGTAGTAACCACACTTATACCACTGAAAGATACCTTAAACAGATCTACAGGGTCTGGACAGTCTAGGTAAGTAACCACACTTATACCACAGAAAGATACCTTAATCAGATCTACAGTGTCTGGTCAGTTTAGGTTAGTAACTACACTTATACCACAGAAAGATACCTTAAACATATCTACAGTGTCTGGTCAGTCTAGGTTAGTAACCAATTATACTACAGAAAGATACCTTAAACAGATCTACAGGGTCTGGACAGTCTAGGTAAGTAACCACACTTATACCACAGAAAGATACCTTTAACAGATCTACAGTGTCTGGTCAGTCTAGGTTAGTAAACACTTATACCACTTAAAGATACCTTAAACAGATTAACAGTGTCTGTTCTGGTCAGTCTAGGTTAGTAACCACACTTATATCACAGAAAGATACCTTAAACAGATCTACAGTGTCTGATCAGTCTAGGTTAGTAAACACTTATACCACTGAAAGATACCTTAAACAGATTAACAGTGTCTGTTCTGGACAGTCTAGGTTAGTAACCACACTTATACCACTGAAAGATACCTTAAACAGATCTACAGTGTCTGGACAGTCTAGGTTAGTAACCACACATACCACAGAAAGATACCTTAAACAGATCTACAGGGTCTGATCAGTCTAGGTTAGTAATTTCTTATACCACAGAAAGATTCCTTAAACAGATCTACAGTGTCTGGTCAGTCTAGGTTAGTAATCACACTTATACCACAGAAAGATACCTTAAACAGATCAACAGCGTCTGGATGGTCCAGATCTTTCTCAAATTTCATAAATAGGTTCCCAAAGGTTGGCAGTTGTGCACGTTTGTTACATTTTGAGATTGATCGGGAAAACAAGATGGCAGCCATCTTTGATTTTGACACTTCAAGTTTGTTTATTTCTCAAGAAATACTTGACAGATTTCTCAAAATTTCGGATGAAATTTCCCACTGGTCTTCAGAGGAAAAATATTGCTATCATAAAACCGCAATTTTTCTTGTTCTGTATATTTTACAAATTACTATTTCAGTTAATTGGTAAAAAAAATAGGACCACACTTTGTAAGGACACTGTCACACCCAGCCATATGTAGTTTTAATCAAAAGTTACCACAAGATGCATTTACTGTTGACATTTCGGTCCAATATATAAAGATAAAACTTCCAAAGAACAAATGCAGATCTTTCTATAATACGTGCCATAATCCCTAGTTCTTCTTCTATCATAAATTCCCTATGGACACTGTTTAATATTCAATGTACAACAAATCTCATTATGTAATGTCTTGTTATTCCAGTAAGAAAAGTAGCACTTCTAAGAACAACCGAAGTGTACTGAATGGGAGGGCTAAACACATCATCTTACAGATCCGAGGGCTCATTGACAAGGTATGATAAAGTACGGGTGGGTGACCCACCTAGTGCCTTAACTTGTCCACGCTTCGTTTATGCACTGTTAAATACATGTACAAACAACTTGAGGAAAAACAACAATGATACATTGATTTTATATTTAGGAAGTCACATTGAACTTGATAAACACTTAATAAACTTAATACGTACATAATAGAATAGTTACCCACCTGTTGTCTTAAAGCAAAGGTAGAAAGATTATGTTTTGGAAAGAGTGAGATCAGTTTAGATTTTGACAGTGGCACATTTATTTTTAGAAATTATTTTGATCATCTTTTATCAACTACTGTGATTAGGTCATAATTTTCCCTCTTCTTTTGTTTTAATTTATGTGCTTATGTTTAAATCAATAAAAATAGGTATTCGTTAGTTTCATGATAAATAGACTGTCTCTAGTAAATTATTTGTAAGTTTGTGCTGTAGATTTGTTTTAAAGAAAATCATTATTTTTTTAAAATGTTAAATATTATTGTGTCACATTCAAATATATATATACATGTTCAAGCAAATCATCAAATCATCAAATCCTAGCTTTTAACTTCATATGATATTTTCAGATAGAGGATAATTTTGAAAACTCAATATTTCGTTGTAGATATTAATCATAAATAAAACTATTTACTAAACATAAATTGTCAGAATGGTTATGTTTATATTTCACAAAAAGTTACTGTTGGGGTATGTAAATCCAGAAACTGTTCACAGCATCATGGTTTCAGTTTTACAATGTACCTGTATGTTGTGTGTTAACATTGCTATGAAGTAGCAGACGGCATATTGATAGCCGAAGTTTATCTTAATGTCAACCCAGGTGGTGATTAGCCAGCTTTGATTGGCAACAGCACCATCTACTGTTGATGCTGAAACTTCGCTTAATTGTAATAAGCTTGTCGACTGTAGTCAAGCTGCCTTGAACAAGAGGGCATTAAGCCCCCAAGTGTCTGCTACATCTGGCTGACCACCCAGTTTATGTTAGTCACAGGCTTCGGGTATAGACTGATTGACTAATCAGACGATGCCTAAAGCCTAATACTATTATTGTCAGTGTAGTTGTCTTACACACAGGTTTAAACTATGTCGGGAAGTATGACGCTCACTTTCGCTCTCTGCGCCCCTGGAATATGTCGCAGTAAAATTGAAGGCTCAGTGTGCACCGCCTTGTGGATGACTAGTTGGTCCTTTGATGTACTTTAAAATAATCTCGTGGCCATGGCTTGGAAGTCTGTCGTCGCTCCTCTGTAATCTTCAAAGGACTAGTATTGGCCTAGTGATTGGTCAGGTTTTTTTTACCTGACACCAATCAAAAAGCCAGCCGTGTACCTTCAATTTTGCTATGACATATTCCAGGGGTGCAGAGAGCGAAAGTGAGAGTAACCCCTGGATATCGAGGATGTCGTTGACCACAAATCATCTCGGACACAATATGATGACGTCAGGGGAACAATAAATATGGTGTGACAATTGGCTTTCGACAGGGGAGGTCAAATCCAACATGCCAGATCACTGGTTGACTTGTGACTGAAATAAAAGTATTGAAAAACATTAATCATCCCCTAATTCTATGTTGTTAACAGAAACATCTCGAACCTTCAGGTTGATTATTTTGCTCTAACGTTAACCTTTGGCAGAGCCACAGGTAAGACAACCAAAGAATCAGTCGTGGGGTTAAGGTTTCTCTGTCACACCCTCAAAGTAGGGGAACATTATATTGGTCTACACAATAATAGAAGAATTTATGATTCTGAAAACTGCATCATGAAGCCTGCCTACTAAAATAAGTGTTGACCTGATGTTTGAACATTATACAAAATAGATTAGTTTTTTAACATAAAGCCTCAAATCAAGGTGATAGCTGTGCGTTTCAGGCTGACCGTGAACTGGTGATGCGACTGCTCCTACAGGTCAAAGGTGTCGTCAGTATTACATTTGATCTCAACAAGAAGAGATGCATCCTCAGGACGAAACAGGAGGTAAAACCAGAGGTGGGTCCAGATTACTTTATTCAAATACTCTTTAAGTGTTGTGTTAATTTCCGACCTCTGGCCTCGAACCACCTTGACCTTGCTTTGTCCATTGTCAAGTAATGGAAATAAAAATGTTCAAAAAAGTTTGAACGATAGATGCCTGGCTGTTAAACAGAGGAGAAAACTGTACAGAAATTAAAAACTTGCCTCCAAAAATAAAGATACCAATTTGTAACATTTTAACTGGTGAAATATGAGTTAAATTATTAGTACAGTGATTTATCTTCACTTTTATCAAAAACATATGATATTTACAAGAAAACCCTTTTCAGATAACTCTCCTAATCTTTGAAGTACCATTAATGAATGATAAATTAACAAAGTCAATATCAAATATGTACATTAAAAAACTTAAGATAAGGAAGAAACAGATGATAGACTCACCCTTTTTTCGTAGGAAAGAGCAAGCAGAGAAAGAGTATTTCTGCGCTTGATTTTGCCAGTGTTCATCTAATTTATATCCAAATTGTTTTACTGTGCTTGAATACACAACATTAGGTTGAAGATTGTTCCATAAATTAACAGAGCTTATTTTGTTTGTCTGTTTTGTTTTTAGCTCACCTGGCACGAAGTGCCAAGTGAGCTTATGACGTGGCGCGGCGTCCGTCGTCCATCCATCTGTCCGTCGACTTCTTCTTAATAACCGAAAGGCCTAGGGTGTCAATATTTGGCCAGAAGCAAACTTGGATGAAGGGCTACAAAGTTTGTTCAAATAAATGACCTTCACCTATTTTCAAGGTCACAGGGGTCAAATATGTCAAAAACTTTAAACATCTTCTTCTCAATAACCAAAATGCCCAGGGAGATGATATTTGGCCAGTAGCATGCTTGGGTGAAGGGCTACCAAGTTTGTTCAAATGAATGACCTTCAATTATATTCAAGGTCACAGGGGTCAATTGTATTAAAAAACCTTTAAACAACTTCTTCTGAATAACCAAAATGCTCAGGGT